GTATATATATATATATATATATATATATATATATATATATATTATATATATAAAATTCATTGATCTAAAATATTTTCTATGCACCTAACTCACAACCAAGTATTTAAACCACTCATCTTCCCTTCTAACTTTTCTCATCAATTTTGTTTTTTCACTTTTCATCCCTCTCTTCTTTTTTCTCCCTTCATTGCCACTATTATCAACACCCCCCCTTAAATAAATATACTTGAATCGTGCTGATATTAACCAAAACGATACTCTTTTTGAAAGATTTTGAAATCAAAAACCCTCCTCTCTTTCTTTCCTATCATTGCCACAACTATTATCAACACCCCCCTTAAATAAATATACTCTAATCGTGCTGATATTAACCAAAACGATACTCTCCTCGAAAGGTTTTGAAATCAAAAACCCTCTTCTCTTCTTTACTTTCCTATCATTGCTACTATTATAAACACCCTCCTTAAGTAAATATACTCGAATCGTTTTGGTATTAACCAGAAAGATACTCTTTACGAAAGGTCTTGAAATCGAAAATCCTATAAAAAAACAATGCTTTTTAGTGTGTTTCTAGCATTATTTCTTCCATGTGTTGGGATGAGTGTTGTTTTTGTGGTGTACATGTGTTTTCTTTGTTATGCTACAACAACAAGGCAACAACAAGTACAACATAATATTAATCAAGAAACTACAAAGGGTGTTAAAGAAAAAGGACTTTCTTTAACACAATTGGATAAATTGCCTAAAGTTAGTGGACAAGAATTGGTTATGGGAAATGATTGTGCTGTCTGTTTGGATGAAATTGAAAAAGAACAAGTGGCAAGAATTGTACCAGGTTGTAATCATGGTTTTCATATTGAATGTGCTGATACTTGGTTGGCCAAACATCCTGTTTGTCCTGTTTGTAGAAGTAAACTTGAGACAGAGTTGTTTGATACTACCAATGAAAACAATCCTTGCTAATGGGGTTCGATACGGGGAATCGAACCCTCGTCAACAAGGTAAACGTTCAGATAATCAATCAACAGAACTACTGAGATTTCTCTCATCTTACGATTTTTTGTAAGGTTGAATACCTAATTAATTAAGATGGTGTGAGATGATACGAGATTCAATCAAGATAGAACATTTTTCTTGTGTTTCTGCTTCCTTTCTCTTTTTTTGTAAAGGTGTTCTATTTGCTCGCGGTTCATGTTCGATATCAGATAAAGCAAATCTTGATTTTCGTTTTTCTTGTGATGGACCTCGACGAGGGGGTGCATATCGAGTATAGACATGAGGTTATGTCTTTTTGGGACTGTTCCGAATGTACAATGCAATTTTAGTTATAATATTCCATTTCAGAGTAAATTAGTTTAAAAATACTCTTAATATAATGTGCTAATGTCCATTTTGAATCACGTCTATATAGTTTTTCTCAAAAAAATTCTCACATATAACTTAAGGCATTCCATATTTAAATACTAAATCGATTAATTTAAATTCACGAATAGACTCAATTGAAAAGGACTAATCAAGCTCCTTATAAAGGAATTCTTCATTTTTGAAACTTCTTTTCAAATACCACCTAGATTGCCTCGTGGATTTTTATTAATTATAAAAAAAAAGCCTTTAAAAAGTATTTAAAATAAATAAATTAGCCCTTGCTTTACGAATCTTAGTGAGAATTATATAAAAAAAAAAGCCAATCATTTCATCGTATCCTTTTATGATAAGATATAGTTTATTTTCATCAATAATTAGTTGATGCAAGATTTGTTTTTAAAAACGTCTCACTAGTTGAAAATAAAACATATGGCTTGTAAGTTGTTAAAAGCATAATTTTCATCAATATAAATAAACTATATATAAAATATAAAATTTCAGTTTATATATTCAATATAATTTCATAAATGAAATTTCAAAAAAATACAATATATGTAAAAATTTAATCTCTAATTCATAATAATAACAACAATAATAATAATAATAGTATAATATTTTAAAAAAATTCTCAACTTAAATTACATATATAAACAAGGAAAAATGATATTTTTAGTCTCTATATTAACTTCTAATTTTAGTCCTTGTGTTATTTAACTTAGCACTATTGACCTTAATTATATCAAGTGAGTGATTTTAATTCTTCAACTAACAGACGAAAAAGTTAACAGCGAGTTCACGGCTAAAAGGAGTAATTCAAGCATTTTAAAGTTATTACTTGATAAAACAAAAAACTTTTAAAAGAAAATTATTGGCTGCAAATTTATCGTTCGTCGGTGTAAGAGGAATAGTTAATGTCTATCAAGTTGGTTTTGTTGAATTTGTAGCTCAAATTGATGAGCTTGTTCTTCAAGATAGAGATATAAAAGATTTAACTTATTTTTCAAAAAGAGAGAAATAAAATAAATATTCGAACCATCCCTTTTAGCAGCGAACTCTCTGTTAATCTTTTTTGAATCTGTTAGTTAAAGGATCAATATCACTCACTTAATATAATTGAATATTAATAACACTAAAATACACAGAAACTAAAATAAAAATATACCTTAATATAGAAACTAAAAATATCATTTTCCCTATGAACAAATCATAAATATCTGACCGTATGCATATATAAATTATTATTTTTTGGGGGGTGGGGTTTGAGACAGGCCCTACGGTACTATATATGTGGGGAATTTAGTGAAGCTTTGAGATTCGTCTAGTACAATCAAATGATAAAACTTCAAATGAGAAAAAATAAAATTTAAACAACTTTACACCTAGGTAAATATATTTTTGGATAGAATTTAACGTTTATTTTTATAATAAAATAACACTATCAAATTAAAGATGAATGTGCTCAATCAATGATATGACATGATATCATAGTGGAAATATCCTTTAATTGATGAGTTGATTGCAATCAAGTGACATATCAACATATCACCTCATTTAGTTTTTCATCATCCTCACTATTTGGTCTATTTGGTTTATTGTAGAATCTAAAGAATATGAACTTTTCGAGTGTTTGATATACATATTTAGGACTAACTAATCTAGATTCATATCATATAAGACCTATTCAAGTGATATTATATTAATATATGACTCATTATTTAGTTTTTCATCTAGTGTTCCATATATATATATATATATATATATATATATATAG